GGTGCGAACCCCTGCAGCTTCACGGCCTGCCCAGAGGGCTCTTCTCGCCTGCGGTTCGCCTTCAGGTCCTTCTCGTCACTGCGGCTGGCGCGAGGTGGGAATTGGGCGTGCAGCATCACCCCTGGGATCCTCCTCGCAGATCCACGCTGCTCTCAGCAGCCTGGCGAGGAGAGCCTGTTTCACCCCAGGGGTGTCTTCTGAACCCTGCCGTTCTTCTGACTTTTAAGTAGTTTTGAGGTAAAACAAAAGCAGGAGGGACACAGCTCCAGGGCGAGAGGTTTGGGCTGCAGGGTGAGAGGTTTGGGCTGCAGCTTCTTGTCAGGCTGTGCCTGAGAACTAGCACACAGGAGCGGCTTTTCAGAAGGATATTAAACATCACTGTTGTTAATGTGGCGTTCGTTTTCTGCTTGTTTTGTACGGCCAACAGAGTTAGGAGTTGTTCATGAAGCCTTTTCCCTGCACAATGACACTAGTCTGAAAGCTTCCCCCAGTGCTGAGCTAAACTTCCACCAGTTTTCACTCACATTTCCCCTCCTTATTGCATAGATTTTTGGTTACTTAGATTTTTAATAATTTGTATATGATTTTAAAAGCTCATTCTCCTGCATCATTAGGATTTTATTCTGTGGTTGCATAAACACTGGAACTCTTGCTGTAGACCTTCTTTTTACCCCCTTAAGCACTAGATATTATTTAACTTACACAATTAACAGTGTGCACATAAAGTGCTTTCTCATGGTCATTTTGAAGGAGTTCTTGCTGATGTTCAAAACAAGAAGCAAGGATAACAATCCTTGGATTTTCCCTTCAGGCGTTTGTTATTGTTCTTTCTCTTGTCTCTTTCAGGGTTGTGTTGATCACCCAATTGTCCTGACAGAAGCAGTGTGCAATCCTCTGTATTCAAGGCAAATGATGTCTGAGCTCCTCTTCGAATGCTACCAAGTGCCAAAAGTGTCCTATGGTGTGGACAGCCTGTACAGTTTTTACCACAACAGAAAGCAGAACTGGCCCTGCAGTGGTTTGGTGATCTCTTCGGGGTATCAGTGTACACACATTTTGCCAGTCTTAGATGGCAGGTGAGTTCTTGGTGTCTTCAGTATTGTTCAGCCTCCCTTTGTCAGGCATTGACTTTTGAAGTGATGCCAATGCTCATTCCTCTATCACTGAGTATTCCAGCCCTGCAGTATTAACTCTTATCAGCTCTTCATTTATACTGATGAGTTAAAACTGGGTCTGCAGATGTTGCTAAGTTCTTGAATCTTGAAGAAGCAGTGCTGCCCTTGTAAATTTTGTCTTCTGAGTTGCTATTTGTGCCTAGACCTGGACTTTGAAAAGTAGAAGGGGATATCTGCCCCAACGGAAACCAGTCATTAAAAAACACAGGTTTTAAAGCAGCTTTGGGACAAATAAAGTGTTCTGTGAGACTTCTGCAGTTCTTGAGGCTTTTATCATTCTGATTATGCCGTGACATTGCTCTGCTTTTTCTTTTTTAATCCTTACTGCAAGACATGCCTTTATTATATCTGGTAATGGTTCAAATTATCAAGGGTTACACCTGGCCGACTGTGAACTGTTACAAAGGTTAAAGAACTACTTTGAGCTCCACTAACCATCATTCCCATCTTGAAATAGACCATTTCTGTGCTGTAGAAAAATTATTAATCCTTAGGTGTTTTTTTTAAAGCACAATAAAGCCTTTCAGAAATGTTTGCAGTAAACAAAGCAATTATGCAGAGAAAAGCAGGTGTGTTAAACTCTCTGGTAACTGAACCTTGAAATGCTTATCTGTGAATATTTATCTGTCTGTGTGTCCATATCAGAGATGGAATCGTTCTGGGGAAGGCAGGAGGTCTGTTTGATGCTAATTTTGTGGATTTCTGCAGCCTCAGCTGTGTCTCTTTACATTTTGAGGCTGGATGCTAAGAACTGCAAGCGCATTAACCTGGGAGGGTGCCAAGCAGCTGTGTATCTGCAGCGACTCCTGCAGCTCAAGTACCCTGGGCACTTTGCAGCTATCACGCTCAGCCGCATGGAGGAGATCCTGCATGAGCACAGCTATGTAGCAGAGGACTACATAGAAGGTAAAACCAGGTGTTTTTTACCCCCAGATAGTCTTCATCCCCACTTAGTTTGTCCTCTATCCCTTGTTGTCCAGCTGGTTGGGATTCTGGCTGAAATGCTCTACTGCTGTTTTGCTTTCTTTATAGTTGTCTTTCTGGTGATTGCCTCATGCTTAAAAACGGTTTCAAATTTAAAGTTAATTGAACTGCTACTAAAAATAATCTGTATTAGGTCAGATTTCTTTGTGAATGAAAATTTGGATTGTTTAGAGGAAAAAATTTAAGATGGGTTAATTATTTACTTTATACTTCAAAAAACCCCTTTTGAATTGGTTATGATTTCTGAATCCGGTTTTGTTTCTCATGTGCTTTAAGGTTTCCAGAATGGCAGAGGATATTTCTCATGGCTTTTTGTGATTTAAAGAAGTTTTAAAATCTCCATGATGAGTGTCATCTTAAGTAGTGGCCAAATAAAAGTGTTTTCTTAAATTTGTCACTGATGAAAGAGCCTAGAGGAGTCCTTGGAAATGTGTGAGGGCTTTTCCTTACCTTGGGAAGAGATGAGGGACGTTAGTGTGCACTTCCACCTCTTAGTACTTGTTGCTTTGTGGAGATCAGAGCACTAAGAACCACCTGCACTGGGTATGTGACCAGAAGAGGTAATGCTCTGAAGGGGTGGCTAAGCATGGGGACAGCTACCAAGAGGCGACAAAATTCTAGGCAGGACTATTTTTGCCTTCTTTTGTCATCTTTCATCCTCCTCATGGAGTATGTACAGTATACGAGTCACTGTTTGCAGCTGACAAAACAGTTATTTTGCTTTCCAAACACACAGAGCTACAGAAGTGGAGGTGCCCAGAGTACTATGAGAATAATGTGCACAAGATGCAGCTGCCTTTCTCCAACAAGCTGCTAGGAAGCACTCTGACCTCAGAGGAGAAGCAGGAGAAGAAGCAGCAGCAACTGCGGCGACTTCAGGAACTGAACGCACGTCGTCGAGAAGAGAAGCTGCAGCTTGACCAAGAGAGGCTAGACAGGTTGTTGTATGTCCAGGTAACCAAGGGAAAGTTCTCAGTGTGATGTTTGGGAGGAGGGCAGGCTGCCCTTGGAGCTTTATCAGAAGGTCACTGCATCATTGTAGAGAAGCAGTGGGAACTTTCAGGTTCTGAGCAGCACTTCTTTTGAGAAATGCTTGAGTGCTGCCAAAGTGTGCACATCATAATATCTGGTAATGAAGGCAAAGTGTCTGTGCAGGCACAGCTGGCAGATAGTTGTGATTTCCCTGCCTTGTTCATCACAGCTAACTCTGATCTGTCTGTAGGAACTTTTAGAGGATGGTCAGATGGATCAGTTCCACAAAGCTTTGGTGGAGCTGAACATGGACTCTGCAGAAGAACTTCAGTCTTACATCAACAAATTGAGTGTGTCTGTTGAACAAACGAAGCAGAAAATCCTGCAGTCAGAAGTCAATATTGAAGTAGATGTTGTGGACAGCAAGCCAGAGGTATGATGTTTTCACCAAGTTAAGCCTTGTCTTATCTCTGAGAGAATTAAGTTTCTGTGCTTGAAAATGTGCTCCTTCAGACTTCTATTGATGAACTAAGCTTTTCCTTTAACATGCTGGAAGTCATTGTGAAGTTGGCAACTGCTCTCTCTTCAGAGAGCATGGCTTAAGACAACCATCCTTAATCATCAGTAACCTTCTATTACAGATATAGAAGAACCCATCAAGCTTTCTGTTAAAATCAGTATTTGTTTTCCTTTCTGTTCTTCCCTTTCAGGTGCAGAGAAGTTTATGGTAAACAGCTAACCCTTTGCCTTCATTCTGGCTGTCTGTTTTGGTGCAATTAAGCAGCATGTTCTGTTTTGTTAACTTAAAAATGAAGGATTAATTGCTACACTTGGTTATAGGAGTTGTAGTGAAGATGAGAAGCTGTTTGTCTGCTTTGCCAGACTAATACAGGCCCAGCAGCTGCTGCTGAGAGGTGGTCTGAGGCTGTTTGTGCATATGCTTGTGCATGTGCCTTTCAAGTCACATAAGACAGGTCTGTTTTAGCTGTATCACTGTTTGCTCAGAGAAAAGGTAGAGAGAAAAAGAGAAAATTGAAGCATAAAGGAGAAATCCGTATTTAGGGTGTCCAAAGCAGCTATGGCTGCCCCATCCCTGGAAGTGTTCAAGGCCAGGATGGACAACCTCTGTGCAGCCTGGTCTAGTGGAAAGTGTCCCTGCTCATGGCAGGGGGTGGAACAAAGTGAGCTTTAAGGTCCCTTCCAATCCAAACCATTCTGTGGTTACCAGTAAAGCTTGTGTGAGAATCAGTTCAGTTGTGCCTGAGCAAAATTCAGGGAGATGATGGTCTTACCATGGTGATAAAGAGTCTTTCTGCCTTCTGCCAAGAGAAATTGTTCTAGAAAAAAAATTATTAAAAGACAGCTGCTTGTAATTTTGCTCAGTGGTTGTGCCTAAGTTCCTCTATGGATCACACATCTTGGATCCCACACTCCTTCTCTTTACTAGGTGTAATCACAGACCTTGGAATGAATCCACAAGCTTTGTTTGGTCTATACCTTGTGAGAGCACCTACATTTATCACCAAATCCATTTATGGGATAGGCTATTCCTCTGTGGCCCTATAAAGGAGTCTAAAAGCTAATTGTGTTGTCCTAGGGTCTGTGCCAAGTCTTCAGCTGAGCTCTGTGTTCCTTTCTGTTGCTGGTTCTTTTTAAAGACATAAAAAGAAATGGATTTAACAAAGCCTAAGTGTTGGCCAGAACTTGAGGTTGCTGTGTTTGTTTGCTGTAACAAATGGACACTGCTTGAAGTTCAGTTTGAGTAATTGCTTGGGTTTTAATGGATACAAAATAGATACTTAAAGAAGGATTGAAGGGTGTGACTTGTTGGGCATTGCAACAAATGTTTCAACTATAAAATAACAGAAACAAATCTTTAGCAACAAAATCCCAAGAGTAACTTGTAACACAAGAATAAAGGAGGTAATGAAAAAGCTGCTCCTGCTTCACCGCAGGAGTCCTGCAGGATTTTGAGTGATGCTTTTCATTAGGGAAGAGCTTTATGTCTGTGTAAAATGTAAGGGGTTTTGGTGCAACCTGTGAGCAAATCGTAGGTGGTTGAAACTGGCAGAAATTGTGTGGTGGCTTTGTAGCTAGCAAATATTTGTTTTCCAGTCCCACACAAGCAAAATAGGGAATTGGATGGTAATTATAGAGAAGTTAGAGGTGCTGGGAGGGCACCAAGTTTTAACCAATATAAAAAGCTGTTTTAGTATGTTTTTATGTCCAGGGTATAGCTGCCTGGGATCCTGCAAACAGCCTGGTGACTGAGGCCTTGATTTCTGAGCTGACACTAGGATAAATTTATTGGAAGTGTTTGATTTTTGTGCTTTGATTGAATGTCTGTCTTAACTTGTATTTTCTGGGCACATTTGTTTTCAAGCATGTTAAAAAGTTGAGATTTGAGGAAATTGGCATTGAGTTTTCCAAACATGCCACCAGAATTGAAGTCACACATGTACCTAGCACACCTGAGCTAGCCTGCCATAATCTACCTCCTCTGTTTCCAGACTCCTGATTTGGATCCATTGGGCAGTGAACAGTCCCTGGAGGATGTGGAAAGTATTAATGAGTTTGAACCTTTGTTTGCTGAGGAACAGCCTGAAGCTGAGAAGCCTGTTGCTGCAGTGCAGGTTTGTTTTCTATCTCTACACCTTGTGCCAGAGATTACTGCCTCCTGGTTGTCCAGCAGGTCTGCTAACATTTCTCTTAATGCAAACATTGTTTTCCTGCTCTTGGAAGAGATGCTTAAAGTGCCTGAACAGGACATTAAGAAGAAAAGTCCTTTCAGTCTTAGCTGTTTTAGAATGTGACTATACCCACTTGGCTCACTCTGCAGGCAGTGCCTGTTGCAGCAGAGTCATGTTATTAGGAAAAAAAGGTCCTGCTCAAGTTTTTTTGTGTGTGATCTGTAGCCTGGTATCTCATCCCAGTGCCCACAGCTTCTAGCTTGTGAGGCTGAGCCTTAGTGGCACCAAGCAGAATAAATTATAGGACAAGTCCAGCTTCCTTGGCCTTTTGGTACCTTTTACAGCATGTTCTTTGTCTGTGAGAGCATTGCCACCTGGGTACAGAACTGCTTGGAAACTTTGCTCATTTTAGATTATTATTGTTCTTTAACATAATTCCCCACTACTTTTCAATCTCATCTTTTAAAGCCCGTGTTTAACCTGGCAGAGTACCACCAGCTTTTCCTTGGCACTGAAAGAATCAGAGCTCCAGAGATTGTCTTCCAGCCCTCCCTGATAGGAGAAGACCAGGCTGGTATAGCAGAAACCATGCAGTATGTCCTTGAGAGGTGAGTTTCAGACAAGCCAGTCTTGTTTTGATAGCAGCTTTTCCAATATTGGTTTCTTAACAAAAATTTGAGAAAATATGTTGGAATAGTTCTTTTTGGTGGGATTGAGCATTGCAAGTTAGACATGTCTTCCTGGTCTGAAAACTGCATGTAACTGTGCTTGTCTTAAAATCAGTGGATTACAAAGTTTTTGATCAATTAGCTCCTCAGAAAAAACATTTGAGCACACATCTGCAATATATTTACATTTACAACTTATGTACAAGTGTTATTGAACTAATATATGATGCACATTTTAAACGTGCATTTTAAAATGTACCCAAAAATAGAAATTAATAAAGGGTGAGATAAAGGTGAAATAAACACTAATTAATTGTGTTTATTTATTAATAGTACAAAAAATACCTTCTTCCTGCACCCAACTGGATTGTCTTGCACACACTTCACTTTGGAGATCTCTGATCCAACTTGGTACAGAGGGAAACAACAAACCCTTGTAAATATCCATCCCATGGAACAGTGAGCTGACAGCCTCTGGTTTTGGGAGACAAAAATCAAGGGTAGCATTTGAAAGTTATGATATGGGCACACGTGCTGGACATTTCCAGGCAAATTAGCATTGGCAATATGTCCCTCTAGAACTGTATGAACATAAGAAATTGCATTTTCTAAGAGGGAAGAATTCCAGCTCTAGAAAGAAGGTAGAAATCCAGTTGTTGAATTTTGAGGTATGGTGCACTGAGTGCTTCCAGGATTTTCTTCTGCCACCCCTGAATTTACTGAGAACAAATAGAGTTTTTCATGCTAGGAAAGTGAAGGAAGTTTCTCAAAGTGAATCCTGAGAGAACTATCAGTACTCCCCATAGCTGTTCAGTTCATAGGGGAGATGTCCTTGAGAAAGGCTGAGTTTGTTTTTATTCCTTGTAGGTATTCAAAGGAACAACAAGATGTTCTTGTCCAGAATGTGTTTCTCACTGGTGGAAATATGATGTACCCTGGACTGAAAGGCAGAGTACAGAAGGAACTCCTGGAAATGAGGCCTTTCCAGTCTTCTTTCCAGGTACATGTATTCACATGATGTTTGTGTAATATTTGTGACATGTCTGTGTTTAGAAGTAATCAGGGCTGGGTAAGGTGCAGAGCAGGTGTACCTAGAGCATGGAATGGAGTGTTCTATGGCAGTGCAAACAACTTTTTTGACCTGAGAAGATGCAGGTTAAGCAAAGATACAGTTGCTCTTTCTGAAGGTAGTAGAGTAGGGTAGATGCCTTGGAAAAGGAAATCCTGCTTCAGCTAAAGGCCTGTGCATACACAGCTGTGTTTGGCTGGGAATTTGCAGGTTGTTTATTTTAGGAATTGATTCCAAGGTGAAAACCCACTTCAAACCCATTCCTAAACATTGCTCTTCCCCAGAGCACTGAATAATGAGCTCAAACTTCTGAAGTTCAGTGGTTTGTGCCTTTACCACTGCAATCAGGGTTAAAAAAAAGGGGTTTTCTCTCCTCTTTTAGCCTAGAGAAGAGGAGGCTCAGGGGAGACCTTATCACCCTCTACAACTCCCTGACAGCAGGTTGGAGTCAGGTGGGGGTTGGTCTCTTCTCCCAGGCAACCAGCAGCAGGACAAGAGGGCACAGACTCAAGCTCTGCCAGGGGAGGTTTAGGTTGGATATTAAGAAGAGATTTTTTACAGAGAGAGTAGTCAGGCTTTGGGCTGGGCTGCCCAGGAAGGTGGTGGATTCACCATCCCTGGAGGTTTTCAAGGCTAGACTGGATGTGGCACTTAGTGCCATGGTCTAGTTGGACTCGATGATCTTTGAGGTCTCTTCCAACCCGGTTGATTCTATGATTCTGTGATTCTGAATTGGCATTGCTCTTTGATTTCTCTTCCCTCCAGGTTCACCTTGCTTCCAATCCCGTTTTGGATGCCTGGTACGGAGCTAGGGACTGGGCAGTGGAATACATGAACCGTGAGGAAGGCTGGATAACCAGAAAGGACTATGAAGAAAAAGGGGGAGAATACCTCAAGGAACACTGTGCTTCCAATGTCTATGTTCCCATCCGCCTCCCCAAGCAGGCCCCACGGTCAGCAGAGTCCTCAGCATCCAGCAAGGGACAGGCCTCAGGCACAGGCACCCCCAGTGAGCAGGCATAGCCCTGTCCTCAGCACCCAGCTCGGCTGGGGATAGCAGGGCAGAGTTATGGTGTGCAGGAGGGAAGGCCTTGGCCCAGCCTCGCTGCCTGCCCGGGAGCACTGAGCATCCCATCCTGAAGGAGCAGGACTGGCCCTGCTTGGTGTCAGTGGGCACGATCAGAGTGCTCAGTGCTGCTCACACACAGCCACAAGGAGAGAGGCAAACACCCTTGTATAAACTCTCATAGTAAGACTCAGGGGGTTTGAGAGTCTATGTTTTACAGCTTTTTAAAATTTTATTAAATATCCTGGTTTTTCTATTACTTTTACTGCCTGCTGCAGGGCTGGGCTGTGTCATGCCCAGCAGGTGTCTCCCTCGGCCGTCGCAGCAGTTCTGTCGGGACCTGTGTGTCCTGTCGTGCTGCTGCAGGCTCGGGGGGCTGAGCTCGGCCTCTTGTTCCATCTCCTTCCTGCTCCACGTGTACCGCTGAACAGTGGGATCTCAGATACTTCATTGACATCAGTGGAATCGATGTCTTGGTTGAAACTGGAGACCTGGTTACATAAAGCACAACCCTCCAAACACACAGACCAGAGGGGCTGCCAAGCCCTGTGCAGCCCTTGAGTGGTTTTGCAGGAGTGGTGACTGGGCAGGGCAGCTCTTTGATTGGACTTGTTGTTCAGAAGTTAACAATAAAGCAAACTTTTTGCTTTGTCACTAACTTATATGTTTTAGTGATTTCACCTCTTAAAATGCCACAGCAATAAGGATATACTTGATTAGTTATACCTTGTTTATAAAACAGGTTTGCAGCCAGGCCTGTGTTCTGGTGCACAACATACTTTAGCTTCAATTTGGGGATTCAGCTGTCAAACTGAACAACTTGCTCTCCCAAAAAGAATAATCAATGCTGAACTGAAGCCTAAGCAGACTCCATCCCTTTGGCAATAGCTGGAAAAGCTAAGACTGTGGGGAAAAAATCTAGGCTGTAACTGGTATATAGAAGGTGAAGAGGCAGTGATTTAGGTTCCCCAAGGGCTGCAGAGCATCAAGGTAAGTTATCTGACAGATTCAAAACAAAGGACATGAGGTGCTTGTTGGCGCTGAAGTTTGTTGCCACAAGATGCAATACACATTTTTGGATTGAAAAAGGTGTTGCCCAGGTATGCAATTTATAAAAATAGAGAAATCTGTGGTCAAATATTGGAGGTTTCTCCTGTGCATTGAGGTCCTGCATTGTGTGTTCTCTGGAGAGCACCTGAGGGAAGGGTTATTGCAGAGCTGCTCTCATACACAGCTCCTGTGACCCTCAGCACTGGCCACTCCCAGGGGTGATACAGGTCTTGCTGGACCTTTGGCACGTTCCTAGCAGGCTCTTGGGCAGGGGAGGAGGAAAAGGGAGCTTGGTGCCTCCAGGTGACCTCAAGTTGGGACTATTGACCCTATCCCTAGTTGCCTGACAGCAGTTTTCAGGACTATTAGGGGAATTCTATGGGTGGTAAAGAATGTGGAAAAACATGCTGTGCTGAAACAGGGTGAAGTTACACCCCAACATATCTCTTCTGATCTCTGTCAGTGACCTGGAGTGGAGTAAATGATGTTCCATTTCTATTTGACCCCTTTCTGACATATCTTCAGCTAGTGTGGCACAGTGGCTACTCAAGGTATGGAAATCTGTTCTGATACTTGGTGTTGGCTGCTAAATAGCTAAGTGTGTTGTGCATCAAACTATTCCAGAATGAAGGTCTGAAAGGGCATCTGTAGTGATGATTATATGACTTCTAAATGTTTGGCCAAATTGTGCCAACCACTTCTGTTGCATTAATTCAAAGTGGAGCTGTCTAATTCTGTACAGAGATGCCAGACCAGCTGCTTAAACGGCTTTAAGGCAGCATAATTTTATAATCTGAATATTAGCTGTTAATTTGCTACTTTATCCCCACAAAAGCTGCAGTAACTAATGAACTTGGGCAACGTGATCACAGTCACAGGCTGTTCTGAGTGTGCTCGTGGGCATTCAGGTGCTTGGAGTGGCATCAGGAAAAGTGGGAACGTTGCAGTATGGGATTCATTTTACCCATCTAAGTTAATTTCTCCAATAATGATTTGCTGTGGTGCTATGTGAGCCCTGGTGCTGTCAGGAGAAAAATGGAAGGAGTGTGTGATGCTGAGAGTGGTGTTCTTGGCAGTAGTGTTGGAGTCCTGATGGAACTCCACCATTGTGACACGTGGGGCAAAGTTTTCTCATACCCAAGAGCAGAACAATTTGGTTGTTTTCCATATAACTGGCACGAGGCTCTCCAAACCCCAAGGAGGCTTGGACTGTTTCTTCTGTGTGCTGTGCCACCTGAGGGGAACAGACCAAGAGGGACCACCTTGGCTCCTTTTTTAATGGGAGTCCTGGTTGTGTGAAGAGCAGTAGGAGGGAAAATAATCCCTCTGTGGACAGGAAACTTGAAGTGATGCTGTGAGGGCCTTTGCCAAGTGATTGTAGGGCTGCTGTTGAGGGAGTTGCTGTGCAAGCAGCCTCAGAATCTGTGGTGTGTTTGTCCTGGCAGGAGTCCCATAAGCTGACCAGAATTGCCAGTTCTGATATGGTCAAGTGTTTCACGTTTGGTCCTCAGTATATTAGGTTCAAAGTAACCTGTAACCTTATTATACAACTCTGTTATCACCTAATTCAGGTCAAAGAATACGAAAGTACAAGTTGCAATTTAACAGGAGTGGTGAGCTTGGTCTATTTAAAAGAGAGCTCAAACTGGGTCCCACCTTTCACAGGGTCCCTAAGACCTGCTCTGGGTGGAAACACCACGTCAGTGAGCAGCCCTGGAGACTAAACATCCCTCACGTGTTCCATGTCCCAGATTTCCGTTTGAGCTGCCGACGAGCTTTGCTTTTGGGCTTCAAGGCTTCTTACGTTTCCTGTGCCACAGCAACTTCAAACATGAACTGTACTTTGCTAAATCTCTGCTAGGACACCAAGATTAGAACTCTCTGCTCCAGTTATTAATCTCTGAAATACTTAATGTGCTGTGTAAGACAGCAGTTTGGGAGAAAGGGAAGATGCCCATGAACTGTCACATAAAATTTAGGATTATCCCTCTGGAGACAGCCTGCAATGATCCTCTAGCAGTCAGTCATAAACCACAAGTTTTGAAGCTTGTGTGGGATGAGCAGGGGAGGGGAGAATGCTGTAATGGATTTAACATTATCCCCAAAGTCATATGGTGGGATTTCCACCCCGGTTGGGTACGTCAGGCGCAGAGCAGCTGTGCTGATTCCCATTGCTCACTCCCACTGCTTTGTGCAGAGAGTGAGCTGGTCCCTGAGCATCAGCTTCAACAAAACTCACTCTTAAATGGCTCAAACCCCAGGCATGGTTTGCCAAGAGTTCTTCAGGGTCCCTTCACTCTCTCTTTTCCAGCACTCCTATAGCTAGTTGACAAACACCTTTTCTCCCTCCTTGTTCATCACACAAACCCAGCTCTACCTCTGAAGGCAGCAGAAGGTGTCATAGTTCCAAGGGATTTTTTTGCTTTGTTGCTTGTTTTTAAGTTACACGGGTTCTTTTACATCCTTAGGGATTTTTTCTTCCTCTTTTTGCATAGTGGACATGGTTTCCATTTCCTAATGCAGCAAAGATTGTAATGAGAGTCCTGCTCTGAGAGTCAGGAGAGCTGGATCTATTTCCATGGCTGTTGCTCCCAACAATCCATGGCTGTTGCTCTGCCCTCAGTTCTGTGCCTCACTCAGTGCCTGTAGCAGCAAAGCCAACACGAGAGCAGTGCTGGCTGAGGCTTAACAGAAGGCTGGAAAGGGGTTTTGAGGGAAGGAGGGGAGGTCAGGTCAAACCATGGAGAATATAGGTCCATCTGTGCTTGATGCATAGTGTGCCAAGTGGAAAATCTTCAAAGCACTCTTTGCCTGAAACTGGAAGAAGTGCGTGGTGTGGTGAGAATCACTCCATGCAGGTATGCTTTTATTTTAAGCAGTGGCTGTTGACCACTATCAGAGTAGGAAGCAAGCTGGATTGATGGTCTGACTCAGAAGCTGTTATGCTCCTAAAATTCCTGGGTTTAGGCAAGACAGTAATTTTTAGCTTTTTATTTATTTCAGAACTGAGGGGAAGTACGAAGCAGCTTCTCCCTTCATCTGACAGGAACTAAATGTGCAGTGCTGAGGGGGAAAGCATTTTGATGTTGTCAGTGAGGTTCCTGCACTTCCAGCAGTCAGGCTGTTACATCAAGGGGAAGCTCATCCCCAGGGAAGCTCAGTGCACTGCTCTTGGCAGGTCTGGCTGGACAAATGAGCTTTACAACAATCAAGGGGAAAGTGTGGATTTATTCAAATATCAAATATCAATGTCAAATTAGTTCCAGAGGAGAGAGACCTTTGCAAAGGAAGCTCCTTGTGTTTGAACTACTTGAGGATATAGTGGATGATAGAGTTATCAGGGGGACTGTGGTGCATTGGGTGCCTTCCTTAGGAAAAGGGTAGAAATGCATGGTGGACCTCTGAGTGGGAGAAGTTTTGAGGGGAGATGGAGCCCCCAAAGCCTCATAGCTACCATGGTGGCAGTTCTGTGGGCACTGTCCTGAGTGTCTTATGCTCAGGATGGGTGAGAGTCACTTGGCTGCAGCTGAAGTTGGGCACACAGGCCCCTGTTCCTTGGGGGTGACCTCCCTGTCACCCCTCTCGCCTTGAGCACCAGCTGTCGTCCAGCATTTTGCCTGCTACACTTAGATAAATCCGACTGATCTAGATAAAAGCCATCAACTAATGTTGTTGTCCGTGCTCCAGAGGCAAAATGCCTTAAGAAAGTCCTGAACTCTTTTCTTAGATGTGTCCACAATGACATGTCCCTGGGATTCCACCACGTGCAGGAGGAGGGTTGTCACTGCCTGTGCTGGGTTTGAGCTACTGGTGAGCTTCTTGCACCTCTGTTTTCTCTATGTGTCAGGGTTGGGGTGTTTTGTGTCACCTCTAAACTTAGCTTTGTGCTAAGCATGTGCATTAGCATGATGCTCCTGCCTGGCATTGCTTCTCAGCACTGGCAAATACATTTCATATCCTCATTCATAGATCAGTTAATTTTTCCCACTCTACAGCTTGGCTAAAATATACCCCACTCCTC